AGGAACTAAATTTTACTCAGTCTAGAAAAAAAATCAAATCAAAATAAATCAATCTATAGAGACTAGTCTGCRATTTAAATAAGTAGGTAAGTAAAGTTTTATTTATAAAGCACCTTTCACAGAAATATATTCACAAAGTGCTGTACAATCATTAACAGTATAAAAATGGTGAAAAGAATAAAATGGAACAAAAAAACATAATTACACATAAGCAATGAAAATTGAAACACCAAATCAGGAATTAATTTCTAAAATTGTAAATCAAACACAAGGTCAATGCAGGTCAAAATATACAATAATACACAAAAACATAATGAATGCGGGAGAGAAAATGTGGTGCAAGTTCAATAGTAAAGAAAACAAAGATTAGCGAAGCATTCACAATGGAGGTAGGTTGGCAGTAATGGTGAAATGGTTAGCTAAACCACATTCATACACTGATAGGACACACACCAGAGGCAGTGGGGGTTCAGCGTCTTGCCCAAAGACACTTTGACATGTGATTGAACAGTGTTGGAGTTGAACTATCAACTCTCTCATTGGCGGACGGACTGCTGTAACTCAGCCACAGCCAAGTGGTCAYGGGATGCCTCCTGGACACCTCCCAAGTGAGATGCTTCAGGCATGTCCGACTGGGAGGAGACCCCAGCGTGACTGTGGCTGAGTGGTTAGGGGAGTCGTCTTCCAATGAGTGTTGGTTCGATTCCCCCGCTTTTCACTCTACTAGGTTAGCTTTGTAGAGATATGTAGCAGAGTGCTGGATGTGTGGATGGGTAAATAAGAGAACAGATTGTACTGTAAAGTGCTTTGGGTATCCTGATTGGATAGAAATTTTATTTATTTTATTTACCATTATTTAACCAGGCAAATCCCGTTGAGATCGCAGATCTCTTTTTCAAGGGAGGCCTAGGTCTGAAGGCAACCTGTTGGTTTGTTTGTTTGTTTGTTTGTTTTGGGAGAAAGGCGCTATTTACGGTAAGTACAGTACTTGTACCATTTACCCAGGACAAAGTGGATAGACTATGTCTCTCGACTGGTCTGGGAAAGCCTTATAATCCTCCCAGAATAGCTGAAAGACATGGCTGGGGAAAGAGAGGTCTGGGCCTCGCTGCTCAAGCCCTTGAGCCCCTGAGACCCAACTTGGATTGGGCGGGTGGGTGGATGGATGGAACCTGTCAGTGTTTTAATCAATAGCAAATGTTTACATATTCTATAAACCCTGAACTGTCACCCATTTACTAGATAGTTTTATAAAATAGTTATTCACCCCTTCAGGTAATCAGCTGTAGAAAATTTTAAAAAATAATAATACAAAATCTAGCCAAGCTATGACCACTGTAGTCTACATATACAACTAAGTTCAGTGAAGCGATAAGCACATAATTTTGAAGCCGTAGCTGTAGAGTCTGCAGCTCTGACAACACGACAATAATAAGAGAAACAAAATATATTGTGTTRGGGAAGAACAATCAGCTACTATTTCAGTTTCTGGCAGACTGGAGAACAGTGCAGCGAGAAATCCTTGTAATCAATGTCTACCTCCGCTCTCGGCTCAATGGGTAGAAGAGTGGGGGGGGGGGTGCGGGGCCTCGGCTGGCCACACAAAGCAGGGATGACAGACAGATTGTACTCAACCTTTCCCTTCACCTCAAATATGATGAAGCTTTCTCCGGTCTCAGAGGGGAGACTCACATTGGCAAGACTTGGGAAGCCTTTAAAAAAGTCTCAGCACACACACACACACACACACAAATAAAAGCAGGCTTTCATCTCTCCAAACACCATAGTGAGTACGCCGACAGTGTCAAAGTGCTGACTCGCCGGCCTCCCGGTCGGTCCCGCCCCGCCTGTCGACGAAGCATGTCCTGATAAATAAAGTAACAAATGTAATGGAAACAGAAAACGAGGGGAAAGACGGAGAGACGGAGGCGGCGAGAGACCACGGAGGGCTATAATTAGTAGGTGATTAACGAGCGGGCATTAGACAGGTCCCACATCATTGATCGGGATGTTGTGCGATGCTGCTGCAGTAAAAGCGAGCTGGCCCTAAGAGGAAGGGGGTATGAGGTCACCTCTCTCACACACACACACCACAAACCCACACCCAGGCAAACAAATGTGTTTGTTCTCTCTGCAAAACACATCAAATAGTCATTAGAGAGAGCATAGACCTAAAACACATTAGACTGCTTTGAGAATACAAGATTTATGCAGAAATATTTTGGGAAAGGACTGTGAATAGACTACATTGTTATAAAAATGAGTTTTAATGCCATTCATTAATCCTAGAACTGGAGGTCTTGTGCCCTCATTTTGGGCATCAAACATAAAACCATACAAGATAAAAGAATATTAAGTTGATAGATGCCCACATTTAGTCATAAAAAGTCATAAAATGCTGCAGGGATTGTAAGTCTGATCAAAAAGCAACAGATGCCCGATTTAGGAAACATAGTGGCTTATAAGGTCAAGTTTTCATGCCCCTTCCTCATGCATGGTCAAACACTGACTGTAAACCACAGTGGAGAGAAAAATGAAACAGAAAATAAAAACAGCTTTTGGAAGCAGGAAAGAGAACCACTGCCATTTCATCTGGCCATGAACGCTTCGAGGAATCTTCAAAACAAAAGCTCTACATCTGCTGCGGCTCCAGCTAGCCAATCTGTTTGTTTTCCCCCCGCATCTGGTTTTTCTGATTAAGCCAAACAAGATTCCGTCTCTCCAGCCTGCGCTGTAGCGAACGTTACCACCTCTGCCTTGGTTTGCAACCAACATTTGGCTTTTATGTTGTTTGTTCTGTTGCTTCTCCAACAAGCTGTTCTGTCAGTGCTCCAGAACATGATAGCACTGCGTGTGCTGCCTCATCAGCCTCAAATTAACTAGTCCTTTCCAGCTGCACAGTCCTCGTCCATCACTCCAACTCTAATACGACAAACCCAAACTCAGTCTTGTATAAAGTATCTTAAAGTGWTACTTGAGTGAAAGTACAAGTATCTCACCATAAAATTACYTTGRTAAAAGTTRGTCTCCTTTAAGAATATTACTTGAGTAAACATYGTAAAACTAWMTGACATTTCTTGCACATTTTTCTCAAGGCCACTATGACTATAAYGTTGAATAAAAATGTTAGTGTTGATAWATTTAGGATGCACTAGGCTTCCTATTTCAGCTGGATAGTTTCRCTCTTTTCGAAAGGTGCCATATATCAGGATAGGTTTCTTTTTGGTGGAGGGGTTTAACAATAACAAGCTGGAATGTAAACAAGTCAAAATGAAAGAGGAGTAACRAGGCTATTTTTAAAATGTAAGRAGTAGAAAGTACAGATAATTACAGTAAGGAGTAGACAAATAGTTAGCTGAAAAATATAGTAATGCACAGACAGAGGAGGGCACAGCTAATTAACCCTAACTAATCTGCTAAACAAAAATATTAGCTCTACAGTAAACAGATTACAGAACTACTGGAAGCTGATGCTAGAAGATGACTGCCACTCAGCCTGTCACACATACCCCTWTCAAAATAAAAGCACTTTGTATTTTTATAAATATTGTTTGAAATTAATCCTACAAAAATAGAATACTTTCTCTGCAATATATAGAAACTAAACATTTAACAATATTTACATACAAAATAAAAAAAATTACTATTTGACGCTCGTATTTTGAAGTTTAGCTGCTAAAGAAGCTACATGCATGATTATGTCTAGCACTGATTTTAAGAGGGGGATAGATTTTATTTAATTTGGGATGAATAGCATAAAATTAGAAATTTTAAACGTGTGAATTATTAGTAGACTTAAAAGTATTGGAACCTAATTAAGCAAAAGCTAATCGGTCYGCTAATGGTTTCCAAAGGTAACAAAAAAGCTAATATGCTAAATAAGAAGCTAGTTCCACTATTAGTGGCTAGCACAGTTAYGCTAATCGACCGAGTAAAACCAAAATTTCTACTTATGTAAATTAAAGTATTTGTATTTTGTTACTTTACACCTCTGATCAAACCACTCCTCCAGTAAGAGGTGCACTAAGTTTAGAATTTCACTCAGTTTCAAATGTTGAAAACTAGTTGGCGACTCACAATCTTGAGAAATAMCGCAAATTTTCCTTTGCAATTTCAATGCATTTTGAGAGTGTTTGCGTCAGGTGAGCTAGCATGCTACACTTCTGAAGAGTCGAAAAGGTACAAGGAAACTGGYTTGAGACATCTGTGATTATCTCTGGGACTTGAGAGAAAATCTCTCTGCGATTTGTTTGAACGTGTTTTAATTTTCWTGCAACAAGGCTGCGAATCAAGCAAGAAAACTGTAGACCTTCATAAACATTTCGAAACACTTCGGTGAGCTGCATTTCTAACCGGCTTCCTGCAGTCGCTTTGAACATTTCGATCAGTTTACGAAAGAAAGAAAAACTCAGTCTAAAAACGTAGACACTAAAATATCATCTGCCTTGTGTTTAAGTCCCCAACTAAAAGTGTCTTCTTTTGCAGCATCTCGACTCTCACCCTACCTYGCCTCCATCGTCCCCCTCCCCTTCCACTGAGGGAGGCCAAACTTCAAACTCAGCTGTCATACAGAGGGAGAGTAAAGAAGGGTAGGCACAAAGGAGAAATGCTGATGAAGAAAATAAGAGACGAGAGTCCTTCCTCGACTCAACCCCACCCCTCCATTGTTCTTTTCAAGCGGTCTGGTCAGGTGCCAACGTTAATGTACTTTACTGTATGGTTGGGTGGGCGCAGAGTGTTGGACCGTCACGCTTCTTACTCCGTCCTTGCCCCCTATTTCTACCTCTGCCAGGATAATGGCATTGACAATGAGAAGGATTAGAAAGAAGAGGGGACACTTAGGACTTGGCTTCGWTGCTCTCAGTGCAGAGTGTTCGGATGGGAGAAGAGGGGCTTTGCTAACGTGAGCAGCAAGAATACAGTCTTTGATTGTTTTTTGGAATGATGACATGCCATTTTCAGCTTCCGGTGGCTGTTAGTGTGTGTGTTTCTGCACTTACCTTATCATTGTTGTAGTAGGCCAGACTGTCGCCATCAAATCTCACCCACCTCCGTTGAAAGACACAATTTCTGTAGAAACAGGTGCAAATGTTGAGTTCAGTTTGATCGCGATTGCCACAGATTCGTTCTCGTCATGAGCCGCATCAACAGCTGCCGATTCTCATAATCAAAACAAATGGCCACGTTCCGTTTGAATATTCAACGTCCCCGGGGCAGTTTGCCAAACCCATGCAAATTGGGTGATAAAAGAGACCATAAAAAGCTAATTTATGATTGATAGCTCAGCATCCCCGTAACGCTGATGTTTGTGGTACACAGGCATTCCGGAAAGAAAATCTAGTTTTCCCCAAGAAGACTAAAACTAAATCAAAGCAAACTTCTCAGGACCACAAGGTTAACACCCTTCTTCTTTCCTCTTCTCATAATATGTCAAAGCAAAATATGCTGATCTGCATCTGTTTGTGCTACAGTCAGTTGAAAATATTAAGATAACTGGCACACAAGGTAGCAGGAGAGAGCATTAAATTTTCTCTTAAAGATAGGGTTTCTTAAAACGTGAATAAAAATTGTCCTGAATTTCCTGCCACTAAAGACTTTAGGGGCAATTTGGGCCCAATCAAAAACAACAATACAGTGACTTAAATCTTATTAGGGTTGGTCAGGATCTCTACCTTTATATCATTTTACTCGGTCAACAACTTCAAAACGACTGGCTTGGTCACGTGACGTGTGCTATTACTTTTATTGGTGGTTTGACCCCAAAAAGACCCCCCCAAAAAACCAATAAGAATGAATTTCGGGTGCCTTAAATCTTTCAAAAACTTAAAGCTTTTTGAATTATCTCATGAACACAGCTCTTGTGAGATCGGACAGTAGTTTTATCTGTTCAGCTTATTTTTATTTTTGTAATTGAGCACATTTTCATTCAGATTTGAATGAGTTATTCTTGTTCCACTAAACTGATTGAAATGTAGGACTATTTAAAGTACTCCACACAAAAACATGCAGTCAAACTTACCCTTGAGGAGACAGCTTGTCCAGCCAGCCCACTTTGAGCACTTGGTGTTTGGGGGCTCCATAGAAACAAGCATAAGGAGAAATTTCAGGCTGTACTCTTTTAGGGTCGCTCATCAAAACATCTGAACGCTGAGAGTAAAGGTCGCAGTCCACCATGACTAAAGAGTCCTCTTTAGGACCAGAAGTCRTTGAACCAACAGCAACAGCATCAGGAGCTGAGGACAAACTTCGGTCCAAAACGGTCTGAGGCARCAAGTCCACCGTGGAGTATTCATCTGTGTCTGGCACAGTCAAGCTTGGGGGACASTCTTTTTCTCCGGACTTTTTTCTGCATGAGAGCAATAGAAAACGTGAGTTTTTAAACATATATTAAGGTGAAAAGTGTTTGCTAAATACAATGTTTGTAAAAATGCAAACAGAGAAATAAAGAGGTAAACTGCCTGATCAGTTGCTGAAATACAGGCCTATTTTGATTGATATTTTTATTAGTAATTGACACCATCCAGGTCTGAAGAATACAAAGTTTGCTGTTGTTTTTATTTCCCAAGTTTGTTTAAAAAGATCTCTAGTTTATTCAGAAAGGGAGATAAAAAATAGTACAAAGTCGGAAAATTGCGTACATAAGTACCAGCTCCATTGTGACGTAGAATTTAAAAAGAAGGGATGGATGGATGGATGGATGGATAGATGGATGGATGGATGGATGGATGGATGGATGGATGGATGGATGGATGGATGGATGAAGGGGACAGAGACTCTATGCTAGCTTGTTTAGCACTAGATTAAGACAAGGACTTGTGATGAGCACCATATTGTGTTTTTAGGGCAATAAACAAAGAAATGCTACAATAAAATTGAAATATTCTGTTAAATTGTCTTCTTGAATGGTTGTTCTTAAATGTAATTTCATTTTGCTCTGTACAATGACAATATAAGCATCATAAATCAATAAATAAATAAATAAATACAAAGATTTGATTAAATTTCATTATCACAGGCTGTTTTTCCAGTCAGAAACAGTGCAAGTCTCCTGCTAAAACGTTATTTTTTTTCACATTTCATAAGGTAAATTTTAGACTTAAAACATCCTCACATTYCCCTGCTCCACAAAAACTAAGCTGAACTAATCACCTCTTGGCTCTGGCTTCTTAATTAGCTTACAAACGCTGATGGTTGCATTGATTGTCACATCTGAATCTCAACAAGGTCAAAAGTTGCGTTTCCCTAAATGTCAAACTGATCCATTTGTTTGAAAATAATTAGTTTCACTAATTAATAAGTAACTAATGAGCACTGGTGCAACTTGTTTGGCAAACAAATGTTTTAACTGTGAATCATTAGCATGTTCAGCAATGGCTGCATGCTGTGATGGCAGGAACATAAAAGCAATTTTTGTAGGAACATTTGAATTCGTGTTGATATTTACATAAAGTGGAAGACCAGTGTTGCAACAGCRTACAATACCTTTTTTTCTTCTGTTTCATCTTGGCCTTAAACCCGCTCTGCAGCCCTTCTTTAGCACCTTGTTCCTACAAAACACAGAAGAGATTAGCATCAGACGAAAGGGAAAGTGTCCATCTTTCAGTTGGACACCGTTATCAAGTTGCCGCACTAAACTATGTTAACTTTAGCAGCGAAGTGACATTTCAATTAACCTCTGGGGGCAAACCGAAACAAGCACATTTTCTACTCTGCTGTGTGTTGGCTGTGACATCATTAACACAGGAGGAAGTTAGGTTCGACTGTGGCTGAAACAGCGAAAGATAGTGCTGAAGATCTGAGAAAAGCTGGTTCCTCTTGTGCCGCTTGTTGCTGCCCATGAGTGGGAGGGTGTGTTGTCTTACCGGAGCAGGTTCGGGGTTGTTGAAGAGGAATATTTCTCCGTAGGGAGCGATAGGTGTCAAGGTTCTTTGAAGTGGAGCTATAAAGAACAGGGGTGGAAGAAAGAAAAAAAAAACTCACACACATCAGTGGTTTTGTTGGAGCTGAAACTTGGAAAATACAACTTAACACAGTGCTTGAAAGTGAGCAACTTAACTGGATTGTTCCGGTTAAAAATCCAAATCACTTAGATGTTACAGTGCTCTTTCATTAAACCAACTCATTGATCTGAATAAATGTGTCAGTCCTTGATCCATGCAGGCACAAACCAATTAAATTTTGCCTTAGCATGTCTATCTCTCCGCCTCGGCCCTCTTCCATGCGCTAATGGGAGTGTGATCTTCCCGAGTCTGTCTCAAAGAAAACCCGGGCCGATGCCAACGCTGTTTTCTCTGCTTTCGTTCCTGCAGGAACTGTGGTCGGTGGAAGCGGGGACGAGGGGAGGGGGGAGAAGAAAGACTAGAGCCAGACGCTATTAGTCTGGAGACCAGGAGCGACGCTGCGTAGGACGCTTCCTGTCACAGTGAAAAATGACAGTAGCCCCTCGTGAGGATTGTGAGGGCCAAAAGTGTCCACCACGGGGCAAGGCGTACACGTAGACAGACACTCGTAGACGGACAGATACGCACTCCGACGGTACAAAGATTGAAACCTAAAGATGCCGCGAGACAAAAGACATAAAACAGACAAATGAACAGACCAGTCCAGATGGAAATGTATAATTTTTTAAGCATTGTAGAATTGCGGCAAAACAATGTGGGCCATTACAGAAGGGCATGTACTCAGTTTTGTAAGCTGTAAGAAGAGGTCAGTACACTTGATGATAGAATGCACTCCAATACTGTGGCCCCTCTCCATGGACCAGCATGGTGGGCAGATAGCGAGCATCAATCATCTTCTATCAGCTGACCCTCAGGCCACTTGCAAGTCTCTCCGAGGGCCGCCGGACGCCACTGTACTCTGTTCCTGTCTGTTCCACTCTTTCTCCTCACTGGCTTCATGTCTGGCATCTGCTTTTGTTTCTCTCAGATGCTTCTTTATCTGCTCGTGGCCAGACTCTGTCAAGAGGCGGTCTGGGTAGCAGCGCTCGACGCAGCCGTCAGCTCCGAGCTGGAGAGGAGATTTGTTCTGAATGAAGCATTAAAGCCTTCTGGGTCAATAAGTTGCAAGTCATTTTATTAATGTTGAACACTTGTTTATAAACATGAGTCCAAGTTGCGTTTAGAGAAAAAAAAAAAAACAGCTGTGACGTGAATCTATATTAGTCATCTAATTATTTGTTCAGTCTGCGGGTTTCTAAATTTAAAAAGAAAAATAAATGCATAAATGCTGCGCTGACAATATTTAAATCCTCTCACCCCCTCAGTCCAAAGAAACACCTTGTCCAGCGATAGCCAAGATGAGAATAAAGGCATCTATATATGTATTTTTTTTTTTTCAGAGTCTTGGTTATGGGGTGCCAAATGTAAGATAAAATGTTTTTAAAAAGTCACTAATGAATTTTCATTATTTAGATCCACTAACACTTTGTTATTTAGCTCACTTTTCTTACAGTTTGCTAATTTTGACTAAATGTCAAATTTTAAATGTTGAAAAATGTGTAAATATCAAATCCTACATCTAAAGTATAAGTTGAATCTTAAATGTTGAAGTTAAAAGTTGAAGTTTACATACACTGTAAGTATTTCCAGAATGAAACACAGCCTTTGCTGATCGAGCTCGGCTCATGTTAGGATGTCATCATCCTGAGACAATAAGAACCACTACTACTGCTAATGCTGCTAACGCTGCTAACGCTGCTAACGCTTTCCTACAAGACATCAACCTTGAAGCTGCGGCTGGGTGTTTGAGCTGCACTTCAAACTACTGGACCACAGGTACCATTCACATTGATATTAATAAAAACATTTTAATTTTTTTTATTTTAAATACAATCTTCAGCAGCATTAGAAGCATTAGCAGTGGCTAGCGTTGAAGTGCTAACCGCTACTACCGCTTCTAACAACACAATATGGCAATTGAAAATACTGAAAATTTTATTTTACACTTGGTGCCCCATACTTGTCTGACAAGCTGCCAAACATTTTTTTTTTTCATTTTTTAAATAAAAATGTGAACTTTAAAAGAACCGAAACGTTTTTTTAATTTTTGCTCAGTTACTACCAAAATTTTGCCAAATGCTAGTTGGCTCGCTGTGGTCGCCCCTAAAGAAGGGAGCAGCTGAAAAACAAAAAAGGGAGGAAAAAAAATCTCCAAAATCAATGTAAATATGCCATTACACAAGTTTTTTATTATTATTTGCCCACCTTTTTTAGAATTCCATTGTCATCCTCACAGGACACAAACACTAAATTAACAATAATCCCAAAAACCCTGTCTAAACCGAGCCGAGTATGTACAGTCAGCCGTTCAGGATTTATGTATGTGTGTCGCTAAATCAAAAGGCTTATAGCGCTGAAGGGCTGCTGAGAAGAGTACCGGACAGAAAACTGTTTCCTGAATGAGATTTTATATGCGGGGGAAGACAAATAAAAAAAAGAAAGAAAATAGTGGAGATAATTTTTTGTCAGCCTTCAGCAGAAAGTCTTGACTGACTACAACAATCATTGTGTGAGACAACATTGCACATATTTTTTTTTCCCTGCGTCCTCGGAATCTCATCTTGGAATAAACTCTTCAAATGTGTTCGGGTGAAATCATATGTCAAATTACGCCTTGCCAGAACGTGCTGTGAGGGGAATTTTAAACTTGCTAGTCGAGGCTCGAGCTCCCTGCGTCCCTGCTCGGGGACCTCCTTGGCTTCTGCTCCTCTTCCRTCTCCCTCAGCCTGTTTTGCATTTATCTTTTCTTCGTTCCTCCCAACCCACTTCACTGTCTTGCCTTTCTGTCTGTTCTTGCTGCCTATCTTGCTCCACACAGAGGAAAAAGGTTGGCAAAACAAGGCCTGCCAGGAGACCACAGCAATGCAGTAAAGGTACACATAACAATGAGGGGGGGAAAACAAGGGGAAGACAAAAACAAGAAAATGAAGGCATGTTCTGATTAAAACAAAAAAAAAATGGGAGTAAAATTTGATGACTCAGTCTAAGGGATAGCATCACGTGTCATCAAAAATTGCCCCGAAACAATTCACGGTTATCACGTGCTTTTTGTCGTGGTAAGGTTTTGTTCAATCCCAGCAGAGCACCTCTGACTGAGCTCAATAAATACAGCAAGGGAAGAATTCAAAACCGCATTTGCACCAGTTGTACTACAAGTCCGTGTGTTGTTCGGAAAGTTAAACAACTTCTAAAAAAAAAAAAAAAAAACTTTGAAAATCCGCGCGACAAGAATACATATACCGAGGGTCTCCCCAARGAATGGGGGGATGTGAGAGAGCATATGCCCAGTGAGATGAGCGCTTCTCCCACGACAACGCAGCCTCCGAACGCCCCAACCACGCACCACCCCTCATCTCCTGTCCTCCCGCTTTCATTCGGCAAACAACAGCACGGCTGCCTCCACCACCGTATGAAATATTCATGGCAGAGATAAAGGGCGAGGCAGCTGAAAGTYGGTGTATACCTTTCTGAGCGCTGTTCGCACCGGTGGGACGCTCTGAGCTGGTTAGGTGTTCAGGGCTGGTTGTTTGTGCACTCCTGAGGAACAAGCAGAAGAAAAAAATATATATAAAAAAAATAAAAATCAGTGGATTACAACCAGCGGTGCAGCACAAGAGGAAAAACAGTTAACACCATATAAGCATGAAGACCTTCAACACTGTGGAACTCTCAAACTTAGTTTCACGATTCAAAGATCCAACAAAGTAGCACAATGAATGGGATTGATTTCTCCTAAAGAGAAAAACTGAAGAAAAAAATATATGGCGTATATTTCAACCCAGCATGATTTCTTTTCACCTCCGACTGCTTTCATTTATTTTGCTTTATTCCTACGAAAACGGCATTAAGGAATTTAGAGGAATAGCTCAAACTTTAAGTTGCTGCAAAACATAAGCAAAGAGCTTACCTGGTTTTTACTTGTGCTTCTGTATGAGTGCAATGTTTTTGTGATGCTTAAATTTATTATATTTTCTTGCTTTTCATTGTGAAGCCCTTTGTAATTGTATATCTATGAAAGGTGCCATGTAAATAAACTTTACTTACTTTTAAAATACATTACAGACCAGAAGTTTGGACACACCGTCTTATTCAAAGATTTTTCTTTATTTTCATGACTATGAAAATTGTAGATTCATACTGAAGGCATCAAAACTATGAATTAACACATGTAGAATTATATACTTAACAAAACAGTGTGAAACAACCGAAAATATGCATATTATAGGTTCTTCAAAGTAGCCACCTTTTGCTTTGATTACTGCTTCGCACACTCTTGGCAGCCTCTTGATGAGCTTGAAAATAAAGAAAACTCTTTGAATTAGAAGGTGTGTCCAAACTTTTGGTCTGTACTGTATGTCACATTATTATGAGTTAATAGTCTAGCATTCAGACAGAATGCACATCGCCCGCTGTCATTCATGACAGAGATTGAATGAAGATCTAATCATACTAAGTAGGAAAAGGACTGTATGTATACATTAGGGGTGTACTGATGAATCGGCCCCGATTTCCCTAATTTTGGGAGATAGGCCGATGCTTAAGATCAATGGAAAAGATCAGCTTCTCATCTACCCATCTACTAGGGGTGTAAGAAAATATCGATATACTGAAATATTGCGATATTTCATTTCCCGATACTGTATCGATATTCTAAAGCCCTGTATCGATTTTTTATTAAGGTTTAAAATGTCAAACTTTTTGCCAACCATTCATTTTTATGTTGTAGTTCAGCCTCTGGCCATTAGTTGGCAGCAGTGAGCCAGCCATTTGRCTCCTCTACCTCTTGAGCGCCAGAGAGTAAGGGTAGCATTAGCATTGTAAGTAAACATTAGCTTTTCTTTTTTCTTCAGCAAGAGGTTTTTATTTAATAGAATTTTTGGACAAAAAAATCACATTATATCGCAATATATCGCCTTGCTTACAATATCGCAATATATCAGGATATATCGTATCGTGACCCCTCTGTTATGATATGTATTGTATCGCCAAATTCTTGCCAATACACAGCCCTACCATCTACCCCCACAAAAATCTGAACATCATCCTCTTTTTTTCTGCTATGAGCACTACCTAATGTCTAGTTACAACAAGTTTGTTTTGTTTCAAGGGTATTGTTCAATGTTTTTCCATAAAACAAGATTGGAACATTGAAGGTGTATTGTGATTTTATAACATCTGACAGCATTAGATATTGAAAAAATATATAAATAAATCGGTATCAGTCATATCTGAAATTGGCTGGTCGGACTTATACAATACAATAAGACAATAGTTTTAAATGGTGTCCAAACAATACAATATTATTGTTTACAAATATTTGAATAATTTCAGAGAAAATTCATCATCCAGCAAATTTTATCATGACAAATTATACTCACAAACCACCTCAAAATCAGTAAATCTGCTTACATTATAAACATTTTTTGTTATTATTATAACTAAATTATTACTATTAGCTAAGATCAATTAGCCATAGTGACCATTTTGAACTGTGTTGACTCCTAAATTTGTTAAGTTTTAGATGTACAGCCAATAATTACTTTTGGAAAGTTCCACTAAAATCTATAAAGTGGTTCATTGGATACTTTGCTAACAGATCAAGAGAATTCACACCATTGGGAGATGCTAAAGTTTAAAGCAAACATGTGGTGCACGGTCAGACTATGTTTTGAGAATGACACTCAGTGACTGCAACACCTAATTTTTGTCTAATATCTTTAAAACTGATTGAGTTATACGTCACTTTAGGCTAATATCAACTGGCCTGGATAAAAAACCACCAACTTTGTTTTACTCTGGATTTTTTTAAGGCTCCTGCTGTCTTGCTGCTGTATAGAGATTTACTCAGAAACTCGAGCCAAACATGTCATAGTCCTCACAATCAAGTTTGCTACACAGTTGTGATGTATAGGCAGAACATAACTAGTTTTTGTTTTTACATGCAACAACTCAACAAAAAATAAATAAATAAAAATAACAGATTTCTCCAAACTTTAACTCTAATCAAAAGTACCTCTCCTGAAGTGGCCCAGAAGTTGGAATGGGGATTTCAGGAACAGGTCGGTGCCTTAACACGTAGGAGCGAGTGATTCGAAAACCTACAGGGTTTTTTACAGATGCCTGTGTCTCATATATCGAGTTGTCAATCATTTGGCCGTGGAAACCCTCTCTGTCCTCATCTAGTGCCGGGAGGGGGACTTCACCAACAGAACTTAAGTGTTCCTCTGAAGAAGCCTCCAAATCTGAGAGCATTTCCGATGCAGAAAGGGATTCGCTGCTGCTACTCGAGAGCTTTGAGGCGGGTGCACAGATTTGTGTCTGCACCGATGTCTTAACGGACTGGAGGTTACGTGGAGCCGGGATGGGAGGAAAAGCACGTTGTCTGTCTGGAAGCTTGTCTTGGTCTCCTGACAGTCCAGCTCCTGCAGGTAAGCTCTGGCTTCCTTCTGAACCATATTCCCTTATCGCTTTTGTCTGGTTGTGCTGGTATGATGCCACCCGTTTCTTGTCCATGAAAATGTGCCTTGGGTACAGCATTGGCTTCCTTTGACCTCTGTCCAAACCTTCCTCATCTTCACCTTCTTCTCCACTCAGCTGCTTCACACCTAGTGCTTCCAAACTTCGAAGGATACGCCTCCGGTGGCCTGTTGGCAGCACTTCAAGCTCCAGGAGTCGCTCATCTGTGAGGCCCTTGCAGTTTTCTAGAGTGTGATAGCCTCCCTGCTGGAAAAGTGGGCTGTACTGAGACAGGTGAAGGGTAGACAGCCACTCCTCAACCTCTGGGCTGGGCTCTGGAGGTCCCAACATGATGCTCTGATCGCACGTGTGGAACATCAAGAAGACTTGGAGAACATGGAAGAGTTTTGGCTTCACACTGTGGGCACAAAAAATATATATTAAAGATTATGTAAAACCTAAAAGTTTAATTGTTTTTTCTATAAATATCAATCGAATGGCATCAARTGTTTAAGACCAGGTGTATTCAATCCTAGTCCTGGAGGGATGCTACCTTGTTTTGTTTGATTCCCTGCTCCAACACATCTGATTCAGTGATTGATTGACCTCCTCAAGTTCAGCATAAGCCTGTTAATCACTCATTTATTCAAATCAGGTGAGTTGGAACAGAGAAACCTCTAAAGCACGCAGGACAATGGCCCTCGAGGRCCGAGATTAGACACTCCTGGTCTAGACTCTGCCAAGATCATTCATWCCAAAACTATTTTGTTGGTTTTGACATGGCCTTAGTTAGTGCTGTCCGTACTGATACAAACGTTTTAAAGTATTGCGAGTACAAATACTTGTACAAAATGCCCCAATACCCAGAACAGTATCCCCATATTTATATCAGGATACTGGTGTCAATACTCCACTGAATGTGTTAGTTTCCATTTCAACTGAAATGTTTGTCCGTTTTATGTAATTTATACAAGTTGAAAGAAAATCTTGTTTTTATTTATTTAAAAAAAATGTTTCAACCGTATAAATGAGGCTGTATATTTGATTTGATCCAGTCAGGGGAGCTGTAGGTCTATAAGGAAGGAGAGCCACCTTGTTATAAATAAAATAAATGTATTTTTAAAGTCATTGTGTAATATTTAGGTTCTAACTCAGTAAGTACTCAGTATWAGTACTCTGCATCAGTGAGTACCCAAACTGAAGTGTTCATATTTGGTTTGAGAAAAAGTGGTGTTGGAACCATCTACCTCGACCAGAACCTCAGTTCTAGGTGAAGACAAGCAAGCCCACATCATRATGCTACCACCACTATGTTTCACAAAGGGCATAATGATCTYTTCATGTTTCACCTTTGTTCATACCTACCTTTTGTTCATCAGCCCAAAATACATTTTCCCACATGCTTCTGACAAGACTCTTGAACCCAACACGGGCAATTGCTGTCAAATTCTTGCCCTCCAGTGATTCTCCTCCCAGATCACGTTCAGTTTGAAGGGMTGTTCAGTTTTCAACTGTTATTATTGGAAGATGTATTCTCAACAGGTCTGATGGCTATAAAAAAGTGAAGAAATGCTTCAAACTGAAGTATTAGCTTCAGCATGTGCACACGCATTTAACCTTATTGTTTTTATATTGTCCCTCTTTTTTTCTTCAGTTGAATTGTACAACCTGGCATTTTTACCACGTTTTATATCCTTTTATTTTGGCAGCATGACGGAATAGCGCTTAGTACAGTTGCCTCACAGCAAAAAAGGTCCTGGATTCRATCCCCRTTTTGGACCTTTCTCCAYRTATTTGTGCCAGATGTCTTMTGGTACTCTGGTTTCCTCCCACTATCCAAAAACATCAGGCCTCCATTGCAKAAGAGATCWGTGATCTCATTTTAATAAGTAATTAATGATTTCATGATCGTATTAACGGTTAAAAAAACTGTAAAAGTTGTGGTTAAAAATACCAGGAAGTTGTCACAAAAATACTTCGGAACATCCTCCTACCCAACCACAAACACTTGGTGTCATTACCACTCTGAACTCTTATGTTATTTATTTAGCAGACAGAGCTGAGGTCTCACTGGCAGTAGACAATTTAAAATTAGCACACTGGTCCGTAATTCACAGTGAAACAGTGAATTATGAGGAAATGGCACAGTTCACACTGTAAAGTTTATCGTGCGACTCAAAATACCTTTTTTAGTTTTTTGCCTGAACACTCATCCCCACCTTTGTCTTTTTTGCAACACTTACCACAACAAACGATAAGAGCTCTACCCAACTGAGCACGCCTTTCTCTCTCGCCGTTTATCTCTCTCATTTTAGCACATACTTGAAATTCACAGGAAGATTAAAAAAAAAAGAAAACAGCTTCTTAATGTGTCCACTTCTCTTTTGGTTTGCAAATCTGCAACACACAGAGAGACCTGAAATGTTACTTCTGCTTTTGTTAAACACTATCTTGCGGTGTGTGTGTGTGTGTGTGTGTGTGTGTGTGTGTGTGTGTGTGTGTGTG